TTTTATAAAATTTAGGTTTAGTGAGTAAATCTTTATTATTCTTATAATAAGATTTATTTTTTGAATATGACTTATGTTTTTTATGGGATTTGTGCTTAAGTTTTTTAGAGGTTGATGGTGCTACTGGAGGGAGACCATATTGTTCACAAAAATTCCCCATTTCATATTTGGCTTTCTTTTTATCGTTTTGTAATTGTTTACTGATCTTAAGATCAATACACATCCTAAGTCCTTCCTTTTGGATAGTACTAACAAGTTGGCCATAAGTCAGTGAATCATATTCTATGATCCCAGTGTCTTTGCTAAGGGCTTCTCTGATTTTATGGGCAAATAGATTAGGTAAACCATTAACAAATTTTTCTTTCCAGAATGATTTATTACAGTCTGGGCGAAGCATAACTCTATTGATAAAAACATCTTTATACCACCTAAAGTCACTAAGTGTTGGGCACCTGAGGTTACTAAGCTGGTCATGAATCCTAGCTTCAATATTACTTGGTGTGCCAACAAAATGTTTTACAATGGTGAATATTAAAGTGTTTAAACCATCTGGTTTTGATCTTCCAAGTCTCTCATCAAAAATTGGAATGCCATCATCATCAAGAACAACAGCATTTTAATATCATCCCTAGAATCTGGGGTAAGGTAATTGTCCCACCAACTTCTCAGTACTCCAGTAAATCCTGAGGTAACTAGATCTACAATTTGGGGTTCAGGATCATTAAGGTTATTTACATAACTATTAATGACCATAGACATGTGATGAATTTTGTTGAGAATTTCTTGCTCACTTAATCCATCTATGTTCCATTCATAGAGCTTGTTTGATTGAACTGAAAATTGGTTAGAAATATTTTTCTCTTCAAATTGAATATCTGGGGGAGTGGGTTTGGAGTACCAATTTTTTGTAGAACTAGTAGGGAAAACCAGCTTATTGATTTTAGAAATAGGTTCACTTATACTTATGTCAGTGAACTGTTTTTTCAAGATTTTAATATCTTCCTCAGATGAAGATATGGAAGTTTCAGTTTCAGTTTCAGAATTTTTGTTAATTACAGTTACTTGAGAAGTTTGTGATGTTTCGGCTTGAGCATCTAATTTCTTAATTAACTGATCAATCTTTGCAATCCTAAGCTGATCTGGAATTCCTAGTTTATCCTATCTTCTGGTAGGGTTACTAGAGGTTTTTCTAATTTCTTTGGGGAAATAGGTATTTTTTCAATTTTGTTTTCAATTTTATCTAATTGTTGGCCTAAAACAATTAAGCTTTGATTAGTAAAATTGTTTTGTTCAATTACTCTCTTCTGAAATTTGTCTAAAGCCACTTGTTCTGTTGATGCCTTAGTATTTTCAGGAGGAGGGATCTTAAATGGTGAAGCCACGATTTTTTTGTCAGCAAAATCAAATGTAAAAGTTTGGGTTGGAGGATGACTAGAAGAGACAATTCCTGAATCCGTAGTTTTCCATTTATGTTTTGTAATTACTTTTACATCTTTGTGACAAGAGTCAAGATAATCAAAAAATTCAATTTCAGATTCAATTTTGTGCATTGTTTTAATCCATTGAACTTGAATTTCTTTTCTTTGTTGTCCATTATATTTTTTAAAGAATTCTTTATTTCTAAGTTTATTTTTAACCATCCTACTTTTTAATTTAGCTATGTCTGGTAGAAATAAAGTACTAGGTTTTGTATTTATGACATAGAGTTGATGACTTAAATCTGGATTAGGCTTAAGACTTTCTAGATCAGAAGCAGTGGGTGATGGAGTAAAATCATCTTCCTTATCCCTTTCTTCTTCTTCCTTAAACCTAGAATATGTATTAACTAAAGGAGGTTTGTGAGTATAATGAGGTCTGCTAAGGTGTGGAGATGACTCATTATCTACTCCTTTCATTTTATATTGTTTTTCAAGTTGGTTAATCCTGAATTGCAGTTCTTTTGCAATTTCTCTATCTCTTTGGGATATAGTAGAACCAACATCTGATCTTCTTCCTTCATTAATCCTAATAGGTTCATTAAATCTACTGGACCTATGGGATCTAGCTGAATCGAAGGAGATCCTAACCATTCCATCAGAAAGTTGCTGGACAGTTTCTAGATTGGTAGATGTTGTTTCTTTGTCTTTATCATGGTTCTCATTAGTGACGAGCCATGATTCTGGAAGTTCAATGTCCTTCCATTGAAGTCTTTTGGGGACTTGGACATTAGCTTCACTGGTACTAGGTTGGATTAACAGAGTACTTTCTTTAGGGCTTTTCTTTAATGCGTGTACATTCATGTTGGTAGTTATGCATTTGTAATAGACCCTATAGATTAAAGCTAAAGAAGCAGTTTCTTTTACTAAGTCTAAGATTTGTCCAGAGAGTTTGATTCCTAAGGTTAAGGCTTTAGGAGTATGCTGGCAATGTAGACTTAATGTAAAATCAGGGAAACAATTAAAATATACTGGTCCTTCATGAAGTCCAGCTTCCATTATTCCTAAAATGCCATTTTTATAGGTAATAAATCTTGCATCTCTTAGGGATAATAGAACTGCAGAATTCAAGCCATCAGTAGTCAGGGGCTTTATAGCTACCTGAACTAATCCTAAATGAATAAAATTAAATCCTTCATTTCTGTGGATTTTCAATTCTTCTTTACTTAAGAGTTGAACTTGTTCTTCACTATTTTTTAATGCATGGACTTGTTCAATGGTTCGTACTTTTAATTTTTCACTGAAAGTTCTGGGGATCCAACTAGTTTTGTAAATTTCTTTATGTGGTACAGAAGGGATATTCCATCCTGTCCAGTCTACATTTCTATTTTCACATTCATAGTTTTCTTCATTCACTATATTAGGTATAGTACTAGATGAAGATCTAGATGAACTAGCTGTGGAATTAGATCTGAATAACCTATTCATTTTTAAATTACAGATTGCTTTAAATTTTTCAAAATTATTTTTGAGTGAAAACTACAACTGTAGTAAAACCACTAAGATCATACCCCCTAACATTCATTCCTCACTTTCTCACCTAAATCTCACAACTGCCCTATCCTTAGGGACTTATAAAGAGATATCGAGAGGCTTACAGACTCTTGGATAAACAAAGGTTGGGTGCCTTAGTTAAGTACACACTTAAAAATGATTTCTAGAATTCAAAACAATAAGAATTTTCAAATGAATCAGATAATTCAAATATAATTCAGCAGATAGATATCAAGACCGTCAAATGGCTCTGATACCAAAATAGAGCGGAAGCAGAAAGCAGAAATGAATGGGAAATTGAAATGTAAAATAAACAATAATAATTACACACAAGTATATTTACAATACTTACTGGACTAGCACTAAATGGGCTAGCCTACTAAGATTGATACAAGTGTGGGGAATAGTAGCATCTCATACTTGGAGCTTACAATCAGCACAGTATCTGTTTGTAAACGAGGAAAATAAAATGAGTGAATTCTCGAGAGAGAAAATCTTGTCCCGCTTCTTCTGTCTGATCTCCTTTATATAGAGTGGGGGGAGTGAGGTCTTAATTGCAATGATCAAGGCTTTTGCAAAGTAAGTAGACAAAGGAAAGGGTAAAGGACAAAAGTCTCTGCTTTCGGTGATAAAGTAGAAGTGAATTGCTTTTACTAAGGGAAAAGCAATCCTGATGGTCAAAAGGCTATCACTAGGGGGGACAGCCACATGTGATGGCCTTATCGTTACATGTGATGGGCAGCTTTTCTGTCTTATTGGGAAGACAGTAGTGATTGAAGCCATCACAAGTAAAGAAAAGAATCACGGGCTAGCTAGATCTGCAGCATCTAGGTCATCATATCCTTCATACGGATCTTGGGCAAATGGGCTCATGGGTGGAGCTACTGATCCGGAGGATGATGCTGGGGATGAACCAGAGTTGCTAGCAGCTTGGGCTTGCTGGATTAGTTCTTGGGCCATTGCAAGCAATTGGGCCGCTGTTGGAGCTTGCTTTGTAGAGTCCTTAGAGGAGGATCTCTTGGGTTTTGACTTGGTCGAACTCTCAGCAACAATCTGTTCTTCTTTAACAGGAGGTGATGCTGAGACCTTGAGTGTTGGCATGGAATTTTTTGAAGGAGTAACGGGAGGCAAAGGTTTTGGAGCTACTTGTGGGGCTGGAATCTTGACTGGATAATCCTTCTGAATGGCGTCGAGAATAGTCTGGTATTGGTACCTTGGCCACCATTTCACAGAATATTGTCTGCAAATATGATGATCAATAATTCTCCATTGCCACCTGCAAATCCAAGATATTCTGTACCTGCAGAAAAAGGTTAGTAAAATAGGAATGGGGAATGCGGACTGTTGTTTACTAGGAGTAAATGCAGAGGAGAAGATAAGGAATTGATCATGAAGATCACGAGGAAGAATTTCAATGACGGGGCCATGAACCTGCCACCACCTTACAAACCAGGAGGGAATCTGGCTTTTGAAATTCTTATCAAATTGAAGGAACCAGGAGTGATCTTGAGAAGCACTCTGGTAGAGGATAAGTTTAGTCCATGACTCAATGTAGTCATAATAATTAAACTTAATATTATGTCCGGGAAGTTCTCGGAGGGTAGAAGGGTGAGAACCCCAATCTTTAATGGACATGATGTTCTTAATAAATAGGGAATGGTAGATAGCCACACTAGGGTCCTTTTTATCAGGAATTCCTTTGATAAAAATAGACTGGGTGAAGAAAAGGATATCTTGGTAAAATACAAAAGTTTTTTCAGGATGGGAAGGAACAAAGGTCCATCCTTCTCCAAGATAGGCATTGACCAAATCCAATGTATTGGTTAAATGGGAATGGATTGGTTCAATAGCAAATATGTTCATGACTGGGTTTTTGATGGTATAATCTGTTGATGGGCCTTTGGGTAGTGGGCCTGATCGATAGAATGGATCAACAAGAAGGCTGGTTGTTGGTGGCACTTGCTGGGCCATTTGGGAAAAAGTTTTTGGGTTTACTAGGGTAGGCTGAATTGGTCGGCTTAGTGGGCCAACTGGTCTACCAAGAGGTGTAAACCTGTTAGCGATGGTCAAGGCACTAGACTGGCCAGGAGCATTAGCTGAAGCATAGGCAGAATAGGTCGGCTTAGGTAGTAATGCCAAAGAAGGTGAAGGTGGGTCTTCTTCCTTCTTTACTGAGGCAATTGCTTGGGCCAAAATTTGGTTAACTGTTGGTTTATCCTTGCCTGTTCCCCCCTGTTTTTTGGAGGAAGACGAGGGTTTAGTAGTTTTTTTGTCCGCCATTGGGTTCCTGCAAAAATTCACGAGTTAGGAAATCAGGGATGCAGTTATTACTGCCCTTAATATATTCTATGTCAAAATCAAAAATACTTAAAATGGATTGCCATCTGGCAAAAATTTGTTTGCTAGCAATATTTTGGACATCTTTTTGTAAAACATCTTTTGCAGATTTGCAATCAACTCGGATTAGAAATTTCTGATTTAATATATCATCCTGGAATTTTGAGACACACAGGATAATAGATAAGAGTTCTTTTTAATGGTAGAATAATTTGTTTGAGTTTTGTTCCAAAAACCAGAATGGAAACGAACAATTTGTTCAGGAGAATTAGGAGATTCTTTCTGGAATAAAATACCACCATAACCAATGTTAGAGGCATCAGTTTGGATGATTTTGAAAGAATTGATGGAGGGAATGCCAAGGCAAGGCAAGGTTTTGATATATTTTTTGACTTGCTGGACAATAGAAGTATGTTCATGCGTCCAAGGAGTAGGATTGTTTTTGAGCCGAGAATAGAGAGGTTTGACAGTTTGCCTAAGATTCTGATAGAAGTCAGAAACATAGTTAAGGGAACCTAAGAACCTCTGCAATTGGGTTTTATCAAGGATTTCATCTGGGAACTTGTCAGCAAATAGAATGGCTCTACTAATGGGAACTATGGTAGACTGCTGAATATTGTAGCCTAAAAATCTAATATTGGTTTGGAATAGCTTAATTTTGCTAGCAAACCCGTAACCTCCACCTTCAATGTGGAAAACTCTGGTTTAACGAAGCTGCCATCTCACGATGGGTGTCTACAAACAGAAAATCAAATTAACTCTATCAAAGAAATTAAATTACAAAAATGGTATTTCCAAATCAAAATCATTATTTGCTGATTTTAAGTATTTTTCGAAATTTGTTCCTGCTGAATATTGTAGCCTAAAAATCTAATATTGGTTTGGAATAGCTTAATTTTGCTAGCAAACCTGAAGTTGATTTCGATTTAAAGTATAATCAAAATCATTATGGCAATCCATTTTAAGTATTTTTGATTTTGACATAGAATATATTAAGGGCAGTAATAACTGCATCCCTGATTTCCTAACTCGTGAATTTTTGCAGGAACCCAATGGCGGACAAAAAAACTACTAAACCCTCGTCTTCCTCCAAAAAACAGGGGGGAACAGGCAAGGATAAACCAACAGTTAACCAAATTTTGGCCCAAGCAATTGCCTCAGTAAAGAAGGAAGAAGACCCACCTTCACCTTCTTTGGCATTACTACCTAAGCCGACCTATTCTGCCTATGCTTCAGCTAATGCTCCTGGCCAGTCTAGTGCCTTGACCATTGCTAACAGGTTTACACCTCTTGGTAGACCAGTTGGCCCACTAAGCCGACCAATTCAGCCTACCCTAGTAAACCCAAAAACTTTTTCCCAAATGGCCCAGCAAGTGCCACCAACAACCAGCCTTCTTGTTGATCCATTCTATCGATCAGGCCCACTACCCAAAGGCCCATCAACAGATTATACCATCAAAAACCCAGTCATGAACATATTTGCTATTGAACCAATCCATTCCCATTTAACCAATACATTGGATTTGGTCAATGCCTATCTTGGAGAAGGATGGACCTTTGTTCCTTCCCATCCTGAAAAAACTTTTGTATTTTACCAAGATATCCTTTTCTTCACCCAGTCTATTTTTATCAAAGGAATTCCTGATAAAAAGGACCCTAGTGTGGCTATCTACCATCCCTATTATAAGAACATCATGTCCATTAAAGATTGGGGTTCTCACCCTTCTACCCTCCGAGAACTTCCCGGACATAATATTAAGTTTAATTATTATGACTACATTGAGTCATGGACTAAACTTATCCTCTACCAGAGTGCTTCTCAAGATCACTCCTGGTTCCTTCAATTTGATAAGAATTTCAAAAGCCAGATTCCCTCCTGGTTGTAAGGTGGTGGCAGGTTCATGGCCCGTCATTGAAATTCTTCCTCGTGATCTTCATGATCAATTCCTTATCTTCTCCTCTGCATTTACTCCTAGTAAACAACAGTCCGCATTCCCCATTCCTATTTTACTAACCTTTTTCTGCAGGTACAGAATATCTTGGATTTTGCAGGTGGCAATGGAGAATTATTGATCATCATATTTGCAGACAATATTCTGTGAAATGGTGGCCAAGGTACCAATACCAGACTATTCTCGACGCCATTCAGAAGGATTATCCAGTCAAGGTTCCAGCCCTACAAGTAGCTCCAAAACCTTTGCCTCCCGTTACTCCTTCAAAAAATTCCATGCCAACACTCAAGGTCTCAGCATCACCTCCTGTTAAAGAAGAACAGATTGTTGCTGAGAGTTCGACCAAGTCAAAACCCAAGAGATCCTCCTCTAAGGACTCTACAAAGCAAGCTCCAACAGCGGCCCAATTGCTTGCAATGGCCCAAGAACTAATCCAGCAAGCCCAAGCTGCTAGCAACTCTGGTTCATCCCCAGCATCATCCTCCGGATCAGTAGCTCCACCCATGAGCCCATTTGCCCAAGATCCGTATGAAGGATATGATGACCTAGATGCTGCAGATCTAGCTAGCCCGTGATTCTTTTCTTTACTTGTGATGGCTTCAATCACTACTGTCTCCCCAATAAGACAGAAAAGCTGCCCATCACATGTAACGATAAGGCCATCACATGTGGCTGTCCCCCCTAGTGATAGCCTTTTGACCATCAGGATTGCTTTTCCTTAGTAAAAGCAATTCACTTCTACTTTATCACCGAAAGCAGAGACTTTTGTCCTTTACCCTTTCCTTTGTCTACTTACTTTGCAAAAGCCTTGATCATTGCAATTAAGACCTCACTCCCCCCCACTCTATATAAAGGGAGATCAGACAGAAGAAGTGGGACAAGATTTTCTCTCTCGAGAATTCACTCATTTATTTTCCTCGTTTACAAACAGATACTGTGCTGATTGTAAGCTCCAAGTATGAGATGCTACTATTCCCCACACTTGTATCAATCTTAGTAGGCTAGCCCATTTAGTGCTAGTCCAGTAAGTATTGTAAATATACTTGTGTGTAATTATTATTGTTTATTTTACATTTCAATTTCCCATTCATTTCTGCTTTCTGCTTCCGCTCTATTTTGGTATCAGATATATATATATATATATATATTAGGTGAAGAAAGCCTTTGTTTTTGGTAAATCACTCATTTGGTTGATTGCTGTAGGACAATATCAGCAAACTGTTCATCAATGATTTTTCTAGGCAGGCAAAAATTGCTGTATCATAATTGTTTTGCGCCTTTTGGCAGACTGCATTTACCCCATTTGGCTCCTTGTGCTAGATATATGTACATAATCCAATTGGTGCCATGCACTGAGCGAAACAGTTACTTTTTCCTTTGAAAATGAAGTTCAACCATCCAAAGTCAAAATTTTATCTAAAATGAAGAAAAATAACCTATATGCCCTGATGAAGGTTTATTTTTTCTTATTTACAAACATTGACTTTTCACAATTTTTCTTTGGAAATTATACATCCAAAGATATATGGATTTGTTCTTTTGTGAGAAAATGATTTGGAAAAACAAAAACTGTGCAAGGGTACTTGGTCTTTTCATGATGCATCATCACCCCTGTTAAGTATTGCGCATTAGTCCTTAACCTCACAGAGGTTAAATGTATGTTTCTAGAGCATAGGGAGATTACTTGCAACTTGGTCAAATCACATGGCTGTAAAACATAACTTATCCTAATTATTTTGAGGTAGAACAAATGGGTTGCAGGGTCTACTATTGGTCACTTGTTTGAAGAATTGGGATGAAAAAATTACCGTGTTAATAGTTTTCATTTACTTTGTATCAATCGAGCCTCTATTGAAGTGATTAGTCTTCATTATACAACATTTCCATTTGCTGGCAATTGTAATTGGGATTACTCTGGTACTACAAGTTCGTGTGCAAGGCACAATTTTTCATATTTTCATTGTCTTGAACCAAAAATTTACCCTGTCATTACTAGGGCTAACATGAGTTTTAGTGCTTTTGGTGAAGAATTACTTTTTGACAAAATCATCTTAAATCTGAAGTTTTTCAGGAATAACTATTTTTTTTCCTCTTCTTTTTTTTTTTCTTTCAAATTTTCAATACTTCAAAGTGTACCACACCATAACCTCTATCCCTAGCATTAGATGCCATATGTGTCAGGTTCCTCCCCCTCTCCATGCTTATTTTGGTATTTGTCTTGGGCACAGGAAGCATTTGGATGACATCTTAAATTTGGCAGCACCAATTCTAGTGCAATTCATCTTAAAAACTGGCATGCCATCTGAAAAAGCATATGTGAGACAGAAGGATCATTCGGAGCTGACTTGTATCTCCCCTCTCGTTTGCCCAATAATCTCGGTCAGTTGCCTAAAGTATGTTACAAGAACGTAAAGAGCAGAGTTCCTAAATTGAGTGTCTGAGGGCAGTTCAACAGAACTTTCTTGTTTTCTTTTGCCAAATAAGAGAGAGACATTGAAAAGAACAGAGAAGAAAATCGAAGAACAACCTGCTTCTGCCTTCTTTGATTGAAACCCATCTAGCTGAGTTATCAGTTAATTGTAAGCACTTATGTGCATGATTACAAGTCTTCCCTCATTAAATGTGCCCATCGATATGTGAAATTGCCCTTTATTCTTGATCCAACCCCATATTTGTACCAAGCATAACATCAAGGACATTTCTGTCTTTTGTTCATAGAAAAGATCCTTCTTCATAGGGGCACATTAAGAGATGGCAATTAAATAGCCTATGATTATAAGATTGGAAAAGATCACCCCTGCCAAGATTGAATATATCGGTTCCTACCAAACCGGTTAGATATTTCATATTTGGTACCTTTAATTTCCTATGTAATGGGGATGGTTGCGAGCAGGACAATCAAAGAACTACCTTGAGGACCAGGGGTCCATGACCCTTCTCATGGTTTCAAAAGAATTACATGTAGGGTACTTCAAGAAATGGCTCAATTTAGTGGAATGCACTGGCCCTTAAGAATACATAATAATTGGGGCCTAGTGGCAAAGGCGTAGTGGGTGAAAGTCTCAAAAAGGTTAGGTAGTTCTATGTTCTAGTCTCGGGGGCGATGGGGGCTTATAATGCATAGGACTCTGTGCTCTTTCTCTGACTTCTCTCAGTATATGTGTATAGGTTCTATTACAATTAAAAAATTGACCTTAACGACAACTTATCAATGATCTCATAATAAAATTTCTAGCTATGACACTGTTCAGTTCCCTCAGTCTAGAATTGTGTTTCTTGTAAAGAGAGCTTGTATCACACATATCACACATTGAATCATTAGTATTATCTAAGGTTGGTTTATAAGCTTAAGGGGGCTCTCACCTCGTTGCCAATTGGTTTTGAGTTGGAATGTTGGATGTTCTAAAATGGTATTAGAGTTGGGTCAGCAGGTCAAGTCTCTTATCCATTTAACTTTCCCGATATGGATGTTTGTTAGCCCCATATGCGACCCTGGTCCCATATGAGGGAGAGTGTAAAGAGTGTTTATATCCTACATTGAATATTTAGGATCACCTAAGCCTGGTTTATATGCTTAAGGGGCCTCTCCACTTATTGCCAATTTGTTTTGAGTTGGATGCTCAAACAGTTCCATCCTTGACTGCAAGCTTTATCCTATTTGCAGCCCCTCACTCCAAAATTAATGATTATGCTTCAAAAATCTGCTTTCAAAACATTTCATCTTTTGTTTGCTCTCTGAACTTTGATGTTTATCTGTTATGAAGTATGCAGTGTGGACATAGCGACAAAATTGAATTTTTACTGCACTCATTTTCTCCTTAATGTAGCATCCACCTTGGGGCTTGTAGTTTGGGTAGCACATCTGTGATTAAAACACAAGTGCTTTCATATGTTTGATAGGTGTTGATGGATAGCATTATGATTGCAGATGGGAAAGCGCGACCTTGTTTTCACTGCTTTTTGGAGGTATCTGCTTCTTCGGAAGGTTGGTTTTGTTTTCTAAATCCTTTTGTTTTAAAAACTTTGTTTAATTCTTATCTATTCAAAGTTCAATTATTCACTTTTTTTTTTTTGGGGGGGGGGGGGGGGTAACTTCGATCAGCCTCATCAATGTGGTTATGGAGTATGGTTGTCCTTGGTTAATTAATAAAATGGCTTAAATTGGGATCAGAAATATTGAGTAGCTTCCTTGTTTTTGCATGGTTACACCAATGTGTGTGTGCTTGATTACACCAATATGTGTGCATGCATTTTTGGCCTCCCAATGATTTTCCATCGGGCTTAGGAAACAAGTCAAACTATCTGTCACAAAGCAAAAACTTTTTATTTGGAAACTCATTCTATTTAAATACCTAGATCCAGATTATAAGATCCATGACTTATCTCAAAGCGAAAATTTATTCCCATAGAATAAGATGATGTAGTTGAGTATGAGGATGAAATGACATATGTTCCCTTTGTGCATACGTTCCCTTTCCTTAAAGTCAATTAACTCTGAATCAGATCTTCTTTAGGAAGTGAGAAACCATAACCTTGGATATCTTTATGTAACTGTTAAAATGACTCCCAATTTTGTTTTATTACAGCCAGCGGCTTATCGGAGCAGTAAATGGGGTTCTAGTATTTGGTATCGTCATTTCTTTCACAGTTCTTGTGGTAATTCCCATTCTTCATCAGCTATATATTGTTCATATAATGTTGTTTTGCATGACTATTAAACAATACTTCCATTCATGGCTAGAACTTCATGTAATGACTATTTGATAATACTTAAACTCATGTCTAGAACTTTTAGTGAATTGTGGTTGCTAATTCTTTTGAACTAAGTTTTTATAAAAGAATAATTTTTCACAATCTATTTATGCACTATGTCCAACAGTGACGAGAAACAATAATTATAGGAGAATTCTGCCAGGGTTTCTTATCATGTTTTTAGGATATGTAGGTGATGTAACCACGTAGCCCAACCGCATGTGATACTGTTGATTTGGGTTGCCTCTCACAGACTAAAACATACATCTCTGTGGTTTAGTTAGAACATTTACATATAGCTCAGTGACCTTCTCTAACCCGACAATGTGGGACAGATACATGGATCAGACACCTCACCAACCTCCTCATCTTAAACTCTTCCTGAACCTCTTGGACTGTGGAATGGCTGAACCTTTGATTGTCACAATCCACTCCCCAAAAGAGCTTCACATTCCCTTGTGAACTTGATCAGGCATGTCAAACTTCTCAAGCCCGTCCCCTGTTGGACCCACCCAAGCATGTTGCTATGGGGAAGCCATAATAACTTGTTCACTTTGTGGGACCCACCCAGGCACATCTCTATTTGGGACTCGTCCAAGTATGTTTTCCTGTGAGACCTGTCTCACCACCACGAGATAGGTCTGGCTGAGCCTGTGATCCCGCCTATACTGACCCAACCCATTTGCATGGTATATTGACCCTTTTTTATATTAAAGGTCCAGTGACCTTTAATCAAGCACCATGGCAGAGTTCCAAGGACTGAACTCTTTACCTCACTCTTTCGCTGGACCTCTTGAACTGTTGACAACAGAACTTCCAGCTATCGCAAGTGATCTGCTCTTATTTGACAGCACTTGAGTGGTGTGGCGAAGACATTCATATGGATGAAGTGGTTTTGCATTTAAAAGCCCACCTTAAGTGAGAAAAAAATTAAATTGAATAGTTCTCAGCCATGATCAAGTGTCATAATTGCTCCTATTTTAATCCTTTATTGAATACTAAATTAATTTTGAAATTGCAATAACACCTATTATCATGGGAAGCATTTAATATTACTAATTTGAAGCATTAGAAAACCAGCAACGTTGTTGCATTGTTATCCATCTATTATTTTTGTTCCTCTTTATGGTAAGGTTCATGAAATGTTTTTACTTTCTGGCTTATTTACTTTCTCCCATATTGCATTAGCTAGACATTTTGTTCTTTAGGCAGTTGCAAGTGGTGACTTGCACTGGGATGCTCTTCTGAAAGCAAACTTTGAAGCTGCTCCTCTTAGTATACCCATAATTGCTTTATCGTTCGTTTATCAGGTAACAAAACCAGCCTTGATTCAATTAATGTGTACAGAACAGTTATAGGTTACCCTGATTTTATATCAAGTCATTTAAATTTTGGTTTATTACAGAATGTAGTGCCTGTTATTTGTACGAATCTTGAAGGAAACCTGTCAAAAGTAAGGTGAAAATCTTATCATTTTTTCATTTGGTAATGAAGTAGATAATGCACAGAGGGAGTTTTCTGATTATTAATTTGTTGCAATTGAATATTGGCGATGATGATCTTAAAGAACTGTTGGCGACTATCACAGCCTTCCTCTCATTCTTGACTTAATGCAACTGGTATTTTTTAATGATAGCCAGCCAGAATGCAAAAAAGGATGTGACTATTAAGCCAGACTGGAAACATTACTTTCAGAACCAGTGTCAGAAATTTTGTCCTATAGTTCATAATTCAAACATGTTGATTGCCTTCACTGCAACCATTATGTTGATATGTTGCGTTAAGGTGGATTATCAGGAGATCATCACTGTTGTCCAAACTGTTTGGAAAATGGTGACTCATCTCCTCTCCATCCCATGCATTGGGAGCTCTTCTCCCTGTAATTTGAGAGAAAGAGAAATCTGAATTTGATAGGATAGTAAGTAATCAATTATGTTGCGAAGGTTGACAGGAGAAAGTGAAGTTTAAGAAAAAATATATTTACGAGTGGTTTCTGGAATAAACAAGCATGAGAGTAGTAGTTATTAGATTGCTCAATCAAACCTGTTGAGTTTGTCTCTAGATAGGATTGGTTCAAAATAAGAAAAAGTTTGTCCAAGGAGGAATCTGATTCTAATTATGGGTATCCAACCATTTTCAGATTGTATCCAATGTCAGAGTAATGTGTCCTGGCCTATTAATTATTTTTTAATTATAATCAAACTAGAAAAGCTATGTCAGGTTGGGGCAAATTATGAATTGCCTCCTTGTGCTTTGTTATTATAACACATTACCTCCTTAAATTTTGAAAACCTACACATAACCCCCTCTGGTTTTAGACTGAACAGTAACCGTTAAGTTTTCCATCCAAACTAATGGAATATGTGAAAATGACTTATTTACTCTTCATTCAAGCACCCCTTATTCCTTATTTGGATTAGATTAACCGTTTTTGTTTTAATTGAACAAACTTACACCTATGACCAAACAACTCCTACTCCCCACCCCCCTCCTCTATACCCCCACACAACTCACGCACCCCCACAGGACACACATGAATGCAACACATATAGACCCACACACACACAACTGAAGATTATACAGTTGTAAGACACCATTGAATATATGCTCTACAAGATGGTACTATTTTTCTACACAATTATTGAATAATAAACTACTCAAACTTAATATATTTTGTCATTATGTGTGTATTTCTTGTGTATTTAAAAAAATAATTGAATAAAAATGGATTCAGATTAAAAAAAGATATTGAATTTAAGTTTAGAAAAAATTATAATTTATAAAAATTAGGTGATAAATAATTAATCAATCAATTGACACTTTAATTATAATAAATTAAAAATAGTATGTGAGAAGATAACTCATTGCAAGACTGGTTAAAATTGTGTGTGTGCTCCTCTTATAAATGTCCATGAAAACTCATGCACAGACATCAACCATTAAGGAATCACAAGAAGTCAAGTTGTGTACTTGTCTTCCACACAAGTCAAGTTGCATTTGACAGTGAGAACTTTTTGTACAAAAGGGTATCTTGGGCATTAAAATTATCAATTTTGATGGGAAGCATCTCCCAACTTCATTTCCAGGCACGTGGATGACTTTCCTGTCAAGTGGGATGGAAAATTAAACATTTTCACATTGGTCCAAAACATTTGGGGGTTATGTGTAGGTTTTAAAACTCTAAGGAGGTAATGTGTAAACATGACAAACCACAAGGGGGTAATCCATAATTTGCCCAAAAATTAACTTGGTCTATTGCAGACTTAGCTCATCTTTCCCTTATCCTTGATGGATTATCTTTGCCTTATGCTGCATTCCTATATTTACACCAATGATTACACCTCTAGACAGTGTTTTGTAGACATAGGGCATGAGTGAGGGCAATAGAAATTATGGCCAAGGTAAATTCTTGTATTGTTTATAAGAACAATTTTATGCTTCTTTTTAACCTAAGATTAACTATGGAAGAGCAAAGTGACAATTTGATGCATTCTTACGTAGAAACTGTTGGTCTTCAAGTTATAATTTTGAAATAGTAGTTATCATTGTATAGCATCTGAAGGGATATAATAAGGAGTATATTTAACAACAGAAATCTTTATACTGCTTGGGAATACTGATGTAAATAAAATGGAAGTGACAGTTCTTCCTTTGAATCCTGAACGATCATTTAAAATTTAGTCTTTCAGAATTCAAGTGTGAAGTGACTCGAGTGTTAAGTGAGGCGTCTTTTAATCATCCATCAGGGCCACTCTGATGAAAAATCAAAGAGAAATTAGAATGAGTGCCTACTCATCTCACATTCAAGCAGAGATTTGCAGTCACTCATGGTCTGATAACCACTACTTTGACACCTTGATATAATTACACACTGATAGATCATGTTTTTGTACAGACAATTAATGATGTATAATTTGTAGTCTGTTGGTTAAAAAAAGTCTGCATGGGACAGGTTACAATCAAACTTTGAAGTAGCCCACATATATTTTTTCATCATGGAGACTGCACAAATATGTTTTACCCCAATGAGACATTTGTTTGCTTAAATGTAGAGTTGTTTGTTGAATCCATGGGAGGGTATATTATTTATTTAGGGGATTTGACTTTCCCTTCCTGCTTGCTATTTTGATATTCATTCTTAGGGTAAGAACTAATATTTTTAATTTCCTCATCGGGTTTGTTATTTCTCAGATGTTATTTACTCTATCAATCTGCAGGACTGCAATTGTTCTAGGCACGGCTATTCCCCTTGCTCTGTTTCTTGTCTGGGATGCTGTTATTCTCGGGTCACTCACAAACCTTGAAACAAGTTCAGATAAGATTGCTGACCCACTACAACAATTGCGGTCTACAAATGGAGTTGTTGGGGTTAGTCATTCAGTTCAACTTTTTTCTGCAATGTTGTTCAATTATGTTATATTTCGATATCTTTAATATTTTCCAACACTAATATCTCTGTTGTTGATGAACATATTTTGCAGTCAATTGTGGATGTATTTTCACTTCTCGCTATTGGAACTTCTTATATCGGCTTTGTTCTGGGCCTTTCCGACTTCCTTACTGACTGTGAGTTGTTTCTTTATTCATTCCATCAATTCAATATTATGGCCCATTTTCCATTTTTTTCCATACAATCTCCTTTTTTTTTACAATCCCTCGTTGCTTATTCACATAGAAAGGTAAAAAGTAGCAGTATTTCACATAAAAGTACTTTTAGTTGGTAAAAGCAAAAGGCTCGTCTTTTATACAAAGAACTTAATTTTTTTATTTGACCTTGCCAACCATCTGCCATTACATTAATATATGTTTGCACATTTATGACCGTGCATATGTAAAATTTCCTATACATGTAGACAAATGATTACTTATAATCTACTTATTAGGTGCTTTTGTACGCCTATATAACCATATCCACCTAATCATGTATGCATGTTTATTTAGGCTCCTTTATACGATTTCATATGGACAAACAAACTGATACACGTGTTCTTTTGTACAGATATATGTATACCTTTATACATTTTTTTTTTGTCATCTTTAAGTGTATATTATCTCTATATAAATCTTATTGGTGTGCCAAAAAATAAATTTGAGATCAACATCTCTTGTAGACCTAGTTATCATAAATACTGGTACTTGTTACATTGGTGCTAGCAAAGTGTTACCAGTACCCTTCCTTTGTTTCTGTTTTGGGGTTGGGGGGGAGATGGGCTCATGCCTGATTATGGTCATAGCTATATTGTTATTTTCACCTCTTATTATCTGTTTTTGAGATGGGTATGTCAGGTCTCTTTGCGCCTTCATTTACTCAAGAAGCTATATCTGGAAGTTGCCATGGTTCAAGCAGTCGTGTTTTATAGATTTGGCCTTTTTGGGACTTCTATCACGGCGTGTTTGTATTGTATGAAATTGTCCACCTGTATTTTTGGCCATTTTAGGCCATCCCATCATGGTAAAAAAATATGATTTTTGCATCTCTCAAACTTCAGAGTTCCACATATATACAGAGCAATGAACTTGGAATTCCTCATAATCTGAAGGCCTGGACATCCCATTCCATTGTGTTGTTTCTGTGTATGCGAGGAAACGTCGATGATCATTGATGTGTTTGTATGGAAAGCTAGCTCACATGGTCAAGTCAAACATTGTGTGCCTTGACAGAAACATTTCTTGCTCCATTGGATCAGGTTGTCATAGTTATAAGTTATAACTAACCAATAAGCGACATCTCATAGAACATACCATTACAAAATGTTTGCCTCGTTCAATGGAAAGTAGTTTGTCAGTTTAACTAGCTATTTTTTTTCTCAATGTTTTGCAGTGCTGAAAATCCCATCTGGACATAGCAGGCCTCTGACATACCTACTGACTCTAATTCCACCATTGGTCTTATCATTGCTAGATCCAGAGATTTTCTTCAAAGCATTGGATTTTGCTGGAACCTATGGAGGTATGTTGTGTTTGAGTTCTTAGAAAATCTTGAATTATCTTTTCAAATTAATTACTTAGGTTTATTGAAGTTTGGACTACCTAAGAGGTTGCAACCAGCGAAACTCTTTTAGTCTAGTGCTAGTTCTTATTGAAACTTTTTTGATCTTTCTTTCATTTCTGAATGGTTTCTTTATTCTCTTATTTGGATTGAAACAAATACAAAACTTATATTTCTTTTATTTCTTTTTTATCCTTTCGACGAATGTTAGCTATGACCACTGCCTCACTAGCTAAATAGGTGTGAGAAAGCTACCTGTAAAAAGCAGGGTGCACCTTGGATTTAACTTGACGAATTTTGTTTTGCCAGTGAGTTTTTTTCAGAAAATTCTCCATTGGTAATTCAAAAATATGAACTGTGGACTATGTTTGAACTTCATTTATCCTGTTACTGCCCATGTAGTATTTTAGATCAGCCTTCACAGGGTTAAATTGTTCCCTTTGTAGTTTTGGTGCTGTTTGGAGTTCTTCCTGCTGCAATGTCTTGGTCAGATCGGTACTCAGATTCATCCGCCGAGTCTCTGAAACTACCCCAGTTGGTTCCTGGAGGAAGGCTCACCCTTTCTCTTGTTATGGGAGGTGCAGGATTTGTAATTCTTTCGGAAATAATTGAGAACTTTGGGCATGCGTAACTCTCAGGAATGTTGGTGATTCCTCTGGCTAGAGTTGCACTCTTCCTAAAACAATCCCATTAGGACAAAGCTGGTTCTGTTGTATTTGGATTTTCTTTTCACCCTCTTTTGGTTAATTGTATTAAGTTGCAGCTGACTGTATACTAATTTGATTTTTCACTGCATGTTACCGTTCAATCTGTGTTACTATTCCAGCTAGCGTTTTTCGTTGCATGTTGAAATAGTTGAATTAGATGTATGTTGGTTTGGAAGAAGGTATGGAGATTGGGTATGAGAAGCTGTAGTGCTCAAATCCAAAACCAATTCCATTTTGAGGATCTGCAAGACTAAAAATTAATAATAAATTGGGTCTTTAGCATAGGACAATTAGACTAAGGGTCAATAATAAACTAGACTATTGTAGAAAAACTTAGGCTCCAAAGGATTCAAGATAAGTAGAAATAGAAGTAAACATAGAGAATGTATTGTTATTAAAAATAAAAAAATTGAATAAAATGTAATAAAGGCTGAAGATCAAGATAAACAAAATTGATCATACATGATGACAAAACAAGATTCACATAGTCGATTCTAAATAGTTGAAACAACATTAATTGCAGCAAACAAATGTCTGGACTGCAATTTTTAAGATCTCCCTGCCAACTGCAATCCATTTGGACAATTGGACCTGTCATGGTCCTATAAGTTCGTATTCAAATTTTTAACATTGGAAATATGTCCACAAAGTAAAAGAACACCTTTCTTAGTTGCATTTGTTAAACAACTCTTACAACATGTGTTTGCAATTTTTTGGTAATTTGACCAGCTGAACCAAAATCATACACAAATTCAACTGAATGATTAAAAACAAACTAATAAATTACAAGTACAAACAGCTCGGATGCCAAGCGGTTGACAGCTTTTCAAGTCAATAATATGTTAGAATCAGATGTTTCTGCACCCACTGTTCATGCTAAACTACAATCAGGTGTGCAATGCAAACTTACACCTGAAAAGAATATAATCTCGGTGAAAGGTGGGAACCACCTACTTCAAAATGGGCGAAATCTGTTAACTGATCAATCAGCTTTTCCTTGCTTCATCCTACCACGCATTCAATCAGAAGATAGCCACCCAGCAGCATTAGAAAGCCGGAAGTGGCAAAAGAAAAGTAAGCGCTGCGCAATTCACTTATTCAGAGGCCCCAACTCTTGCGATATGCCAGAAGAATCAGGGCTCGCCTTCAGGCCTTTGCCATAAGCAGCAATGAGTAAAGCCTCAGCTCGGCCTGCATGTGTTCCAGTGAACAAAAACTAAAGAAGGATCCAGGGTGAAGAACAAAAACATGCATTACAGTTGTTTCTGAACTGAAAACTTAAAGAGATAAATTTGCCACAACAATAAAGGTCATCATTGGTCCTGCTAACTAGGCAGTGGGAGGGGTTGTATCTATGGACCTTATCTTGATCTTTATTTACCCAAAATGACTTGTTTTAGACTTGCATTCTCACCCATTAGGGTTAAAGCATTCACATTGGCCCCAAGGAGAACAAAATATGTAGCATGGATATAAATTGTATCCTATACAACAAAGCTATTTGGAAGATTATTACCCATCCAATTCCATGACACATTTGCGGGAAAAAAAATGAATCGGAACAGCGAAATACAAAGCTGCTTCTAGGAAAAATTCTCCTGAATTCATGTGTACTTTTTTTTTAAGTGTGATTTAGAAAGCTTGACTGTTTTGCATGTTCTTACAGACTGGATATTGCATATTCTAGGAAATGACACTTTAGGACACATTAGATGGTTCCATTGAACCATTTGATTTTTTTTCCCAGAAGATATAAACCATTTGAGTTTAGAAACAGGGAGCTGTTCAGTTATTTAACAAAAGTTTTGGAAGATTTGGTTGAAGAAAGTTACCCTGTCAACAGCGTTAAAAAGACGGGCTAAAATTTAATAAGGTACTGGGGAAGACGGGTTGAGGAAAATGAAATTTTCTATCTCTTTTCAGATACACTGTATTTAGCAGACAATGGATTTGAGAGGGGAATTGTGGGGACAAATTAACTAGGAATAACTCTTGTTTAGGGTACTACGCGACAACTATATAACATTGCAACAAGATCAAGATTTCACTGCTTCAATTTACCCATGCTGATGTCTCATTTGAGTTGGATTGAGAAACATCTAGTATAGGTTAGTATCCAGACGTAGATGAGGCAACTCTCTTGTGTCCATGATGTCGGAATGCCATTACAGTTGATCTAATGAGGTTGGACTGTCAAAGGGCAGTGGCTTGATATGCATTTTTTTTTTACATGAGAAAGGATCCAACTGCCATATGGATAACAAACACTTCCTCTTCGGATGGTACTGAAATACCTAAAGATGTTTTCAATAGTCTTTAAACCAGTTTTTCCATCCTACAGTTTTAGTTGAAGTACAGAAACCATGTTATTCTCGTAGATGGACAAATTCCCCACAAGAACTCTTTTCTGCAAAGAATGTTTTAATGTTTTAAGGATATAATTGAAAAGTTTCTAGTTTCTAAAATGCTCATCAGCCGAAACACCAAGTTGGTACACAGTCATTAGCTTAATTAGATCAACAAACTGCCTTGTTTCTCCCTTAAAAACATTTTCTACTGTCAGATAACATGCACTAAATAAAAGACACACAGAAGTATATAATTAAGGGAAATAAGTACCATGATCTTTCTTCCTTCTCAATAAAGCACTCATAGACGGAAATAATGTGGATGCAAGCTCCCTGCTATCATCCTGCCAACATCTTTCACAAATGAAAAGATGAATGTGTAATAATATTAACCTAGCCCATAAAATCAATGGGAAACAGATTGAACACTATTGAACTCTGCTACTGGCAGAAAGTAATGCTCAACTACTAAAAGGAAGAATGCATATAGCAATTCCAAATGTGGGAAAATAAACCCTATAGGCCCAACAACTTTTCCAAATTCAGACATCAATAGGGAGTGTGTAAAAGTTACTAGGTCTCTCTCTCTCTCTCTCTCTCTCCAACAGCAGTGAAGGAAGGGAGAGGCGGGGAAGAGGGTTGGGGCTGGTGCCGATGAGGGTAGGAGTAATTGCCGGTCAGGAGGTGGCTAATTAGCTGTCCCCTCTCACTCATTTCTACCAATTAGGGCCAAATTTACCATTTTTGACTAAATTACCAATTTCTATCAAGGGTACACATGTTATTTTTCAATAAAATTTACCAATTGATTCTCATTGTCCTTTATGAAACATCAGGGTGGCCGAACAATAAATCTAAATGTGAGAGAATCATTGAAATTTACCCTTCTAATTATTATTCTCACATTGTAACACGAATCTCACCTATATCTATATGTTGATGCTAAATGTCAGGTGCTCAAACATAAAATGAAACTACTACAATAATGGGATGTGTTTGAGGTTGCATCAATTATGGAGTTTGATAACCATGATTCCATAAATATTGAGATTATTCACAAATGTCAACAAGCAGTGAAGGCAAAAAAGAACGATTCTATTCAAGATAAAAGGATCATGTGCACATCAAGCAAAGAGTACAATCTTTAATATAGTAAAATGCAAAGGAAGGGTTCAACTTGTTCATGCTATGGTCAAGGGTTGGACATGCTTGTGCTAGTCTGCGGAGAATCACACAGACCTTATGATGTAGGACATCTATGTAAAATCAAAATAGGAGCTGTTTTGGGGCTGTGAACAGTAACATGAACAGTAAAATAGGCTAGGAAGCATCTCATGGATTGCATCACCTTACTTGAGCGGTTTCCGGAGAGTTTAAACTCATTTTTCCATAAGGCAGATGGCACCGGAACAACAGAAAATCCTGAGGCAACTAAGACCCCAATCCATAGCCCATATGCAAATCCTCCTCCCCACCATCCCTTCACGGAAGAAATAAACGTGAATGTCCAATGAAGACAAGAAAACTAAGGGTGCTATCTTAAGAATGTAAGGAGGTTCAGCAGGACAAAGTGTAGGAAGCAAGCAAAAATACATGGGGAATTTTTGTCCCACTAAAAAAATTAAAGATTAAAATGAAAAGCATAAATCTATTTTGTATCTGGATAATCGATATGGTCAAGCACAGGGATCCAGAGCTGTTATGTTTCCTATCCAGAAAATGTTCAAAGATCCCCGAATAAATTTTGAGAAAATTGAGTGCTTTTGTGTTGTTAAGAATAATAGGGTAGTATGTGTAAATTGTTAATAGTAAGAGGGTATATGTATAATTCTTATTATTGTAGATTAACTATAAATACAAGTGATGTATAAGAACTAGGTTAAGTTTTTAACCTCTCTCTTTGTCTCTAATATTGTGTTATGTTAATTATCTCAACTTAACATGGTATCAAAGCATTACGATCATAAATATATATTCTGAATAAATTAATTTTTTGTTCGTGGTGGTACTATGTTTGTCGAAGGTTTGGTGTGGTGGTCTATTGTGGTGGTATTGTGTTTGTCGGTGGTGGTCTGCTGTGATGGGTCGAAGCTCGTTCACTTTGTCGTGGTTGTTCGTCCTCGTCTGTGGTGTGGCACTGTTGTGGTGTCACTTGTGGTGGAGAGGCTAGTCGAAGGCCAAGGTGTTTTTAGCCTTCGTGGTGGTGGTGTGGCTATTGTGGTGGTGTGGTGGTCGCAGTCGCAGTCGCAATCGCAGTCACAAGAGGGTCCTTTGGGAACCCTAATCTCAACAAAGAAGAAGAGCCCAACAGGTTGGGTCGGGTCAAGCCCATCGAGGTTAGGTTAGAACGGGTCAAGCCCATTGACTTAAATTATTTTAAGTCCAAGTCTAGTTAGTGGTCCAACCCACGGTCCAGTTCACGTTGTATCTCGGTCTAACCTAAGACTCAGTCCAGCTTAGATCGGTTCGGTCCAGTTCAGAGACTCCAGCCGGTCCGGTTCAGCGGTCCAGAGTGCCTAGCCGGTCTGGTTCCGTCTTCCAGAGGGTCTAGCTGATCTGGTTCAATGGTTCAGGAAGTCAAATCGGCCCAGTTTCGTGATCCAGCAAGTAAAACCGGTTCGATTCAGCAGTCCAAAGGGCTTAGTCTCCTTTTTCAGTCCGGTTCAGTCTTCCAAAGGGCTTAGCTTGACCGGTTCAGTGGTCCAGCTCCCTTTTTTAGACCGGTTCAGTGGTCTAGCCCCCCTTTTCCAGTCT